CTTTCCTGTCTGACCCTTCAAAACAATCTACCATCAACAGCATTGTGTTGTAGAAGCTTTTATGCAAGAGCCTTTTTTTTGGGGAGTATTTACAGCACATTTTGGAGTTTTTACGGCACTAGTGTCTTGTTTTTTTGGCAGTAGGCTGGCAGGAAAGGGGGTATGAGAGAGGGAGAGACATGCGGCCAAGGATTCGAACCCGGGTCATCCATGTCGAGGACTAAGGAATCTTTCTGTACATGGGTTTTGTGTTCTAAACACTGGGCAACCAAAGCACGCCCTTATGCAACAAACTTTTAAACAATTTTCCCAACATTTATGAAGAACAGCAAAGTTGCTCTTTTGTAGTTTTTATTATTTTCACCTCTAAACATAGAAAAAGTCAGCAGCCTTTTGAAATGTTCTGTAGTATGGTATAAATCAAGATTCCCCAGAACATATCTCCAAAGCCTGCAATTTTCTGTAACACAAGTTGTGCTACCCACAGTAATTGCTGATAAAAAGTCTAAAGACTGTTGTAGAATTTCAATATTTCTTTATGCTATTACTAGTTTTAAATCTGTGGTAAACCATTGTATTACAGCAACTCCTCTCTCACATATACAATATTGCATCTTCTAATATGTTTCCTTAAAGACTGTTTAGGACAGGAAGCTACAAAAAGTTAAATGACCATAAACTCAATGTCAACCCCTAGCTATTATTATTTTATGTTTATTTTATTTATTTGTTTATTTATTTATATGTTTGTTTCCCTTGTTTTATTTTTATTTATTTTTTACATTCTATGTCTAATTTTTTTTAAGTTATAATGTCACCAACTGCTGTGTATCTTTGTTTGATGTTTGAATTACTCTGTATTGTTACACGGAATTGCCAATAAAGCAAAAAGAACAAAAAACAAAAACATGATAGATGCAGCTGTTCTCGCGAGTCCTTCCGTATAACAATGACCTCGTATGTGATTGGAGGAGCTATACTCAGAAGAACTTTATCTACAGTTCCTTTGTTTGGATTTTGCTGGTACGTGATCAATGCCTGGACGGCGTCCCCCGTTCAACTCGCCTTCAACTCCTCTTGGACGCGATGGCGACTCTGCAGTCGAACAACTGTGAAGCTAGCGGTAAATATATGTTTGATTACTGCTAGCTAAGCTAAAAGCTAAAGCTACGGCTAATAGTAGCCTTGCAAGAACAAGCTTTATTAAAGTGTATTTTTTGTGATTCACAGGAAGCAGTACGCCGTCTTCACAACTCGGAGACAAATTGCAGGCACTATGAACCGGAGCAAGGGTAAGAGTTAAAGAATATGCTTTCATTCTGCAGTAAAAGGAAATAGATACGGATGGATACCGATCATAACTGTACATTTTGTTTTCACAGACTAATCTTGCCTCATAATGAAGCGGTGACCTCCTATTATTCATACCACTCTCATTTAATTGTTTTCCAGCTGCCTGTAAGACGTATTATGAGACGGTACGCAGGAGCTTCAGATATACGCAGCCAGCAAACTCGTTGCGCGCGGAAGCTGCCAAGCATTCAGAAAAGAAAGAGAGTAAGACTTTATTTGGTGATTATTTTTCGGGTGCATTGATAGATGTGTTGTGTCCATACGCAGTGCATCCCATCGCATAGTGCTGATTCATTGTTTTTTTTTTTGTTTTTTTTTTACAGCTGCTGGAATCGAGGCAGAGTGTGCTAGCTCATGAGGAAGTGGAACTCTGGAAGTCCGCCACCGTCGACCTCATGTTTGACGAAGAAGATGGCGTCGTTGGCCGGATCTCTCTGAACTCTGTGTTAAGCTGCAGTCCCAGTTAGAAGCGATGCCGAAGTACAGGGCCACGCACAGTAGGCGCCTGCACATCGGACCTGCTTCGGAGGGAATGCTGCCAGTTACCTCCAACCCCGAGGAGGCAAACGAACAGCTCACAGAGTTGTAATTTTTGGATATGCATGTGTTTGGATACGCGTTGTATATAGTTGTGTGTGTTTTAATAAAGCTCTTTCTTTGCATAAACAGCTTCCTGGCAAATGTTTATTTCCTATATAAATTCATTCATGTCCTTGATGGTAGCCTAATAATTGTGTAGTAGTGTAGGATAACATAAATACACAGCATATGAATAAATAAATATATGAATGAATAAATATATGAATAAATAAATATATATTTATATATATGTAAATATATATATATGCCAACCAATCACGAGCGATTTTACTTGTTTAAAAGGAAGTGGTTCCGTCCAATACTCAATAAGAACATTCAAGCCTGGCGTGGCCACGTGTGGTTTTGCTGCCAATCACGGGCGATTTTACTTGTTTGAGAAAAGTGGTTTCAGGCAATACTGAGTAGGTTATTCAAGCGAGACCTGGCCAGCCGCGCGGGTTGGCTGCATTCATATGCTAATTAGGGCCATTAGTACAGCTGATCGCTCTCCACATACGTCAGAGTCCGTTTCCGACAATTTGTGGCACTGACAAACGGCGACAAGCGCGGGTTGCAAATTGTTGGAAACTGACGAAAATCAGGGAGATCTGCGGGAGTTTACGGGGACGAAAATCTCACTTTTCATGCAGTGCTCCGTCCGTGTATTGACTATCGCAGCCTAAACGCGATAACCCTAAAGAATAAATACCCTCTCCCGCTCCTCTCCTCCGCCCTCGAGCCTGTCCAGTCTGCCATCTTCACTGAGTTAGATTTACGTAGCGCTTACCACTTAGTGTGGATCCGCCAGGGGGATGAGTGGAAGACAGCCTTCAAGACACCCCTTGGTCACTTCGAGTATCACTTCATGCCTTTTGGCCTGTGCAACGCTCCTGCTGTCTTCCAGGCTCTGGTCAATGATGTTCTCCGCGCCTTTCTCAACATCTTCGTCTTCGTGTACATAGATGACATCCTCATTTACTCCCGCACCCTCTCCGAACATAAACATCACGTTCGTCAAGTCCTCCAACGGCTTCTGGAGAACAGGTTGTTTGTCAAGGCGGAGAAATGCGAGTTTCACTAGCACTCAGTCACCTTTCTCGGACTCATCCTGGAGGGGGGGCAGGTCCGATCTGACCCCAAGAAGATTAAGGCTGTGCTCAACTAGCCAGCACCAGAGACCAGGAGGGAGTTACAACGTTTTCTTGGTTTTGCTAACTTTTACCGGCGCTTCATCAGGGGGTACAGTCAGATCGCAGCTCCCCTCCACGCCCTTACTTCTGTCAAGGTCCCCTTCGTTTGGAACCCCGAGGCTAACAGAGCCTTCACCAATCTTAAGAGAAGATTCTCGCAAGCACCCATCCTCATTCACCCCGACCCTGCAAAACAATTCACTGTTGAAAAAGGACGCATCTGACTCTGGGGTAGTGGCGGTGTTGTCCCAGTGCTCAGACCTGGACCAGAAGCTTCATCCCTGCGCCTTCTTCTCTCGGCGTCTAACCCTGGCAGAGCGTAACTATGATGTCGGGGACGGAGAGCTCCTGGCCATTAAGCTCGCCCTGGAAGAGTGGGGCCATTGGCTAGAGGGGTCCGAGCAGCCCGTGTTAATTTGGACCAACCATAAGAATCTGGCCTACCTCCAGTCTGCCAAACGTTTGAACCCTAGACAGGCCCCTGGTCCCTTTTCTTCTCTTGCTTCAACTTAACCATCTCCTACCACCCTGGCTCAAAGAACCTGAAGCCTGACGCCCTGTCTCGCCTCTATGCTCCCCCCAACTCTGATAAGGAACCAGTTCCTATCCTACCTCCCTCTTGTGTTTTCGGTGCCCGGTACACCCTTACCTCCGGCTACCACCCGCAGAACAACGGTCAGACAGAGCGATTGAACCAGGAGCCGAGATATATATATATATATATATATATATATATATATATATATATATATATATATATATATATATATATCGGCCGAAAATATTGGCCGATTAGGCTATATCTGCCCGAAATGTACATTGTTTCGACAAAATATACATTTGGTAAATCAGTTTCATTTGATTTATGATAAATCAATTTAATTTGGTGTAATTTTATTTAGTTAGAGCAGTGCAAAAGCAAGGTTTTGTGTGCCTACTAGCAGGACCCTACTAGCAAGAACATGTCTTCAGTGTTTCTTTTTTTTTTTTGGTTTGCAAAACCTTAAAAGCAAGAATTGCGAGAGGATGAAAAAAGGCTTCAGGTTTTACCACAGCAAACCTAATAGCCTGCCCGAAAATCATCATCTTGGCAAAGCAATATGGAAAGAGCCCCGGCGGCAGCCCCAGGCCCTGGCAGCAGCCAGCGATGCTAAGGCTAGGACAACAATAACACAGAATGCAGTTGTCGCCATGGTTAGCATTTTACTGCATCGGTCTGATACCCAGCCCTAATTGTGACAAAAGGTTGCAAAAACAAACACATCTCCTCTCCCAAACTTTCGATCCTGAAAGCCAGTAGCAGACAGAAAAAACAAAAAAATTTAAATATGTCCATCTTCAACATATTTGAATCTCAGTCTGAGTAGATTACCTGCAACACACGCACGAGCCATTTTTTGTTTGCACAATCAAATTAAGACTCTTTAATATCTTAACAGAACCGTTTTTTTTTTTTTTTAGGCAGCTAAAAACAGTAAATTAAAGTAAAGTAAAGCTTCTACAAATCACACACTGGTTTAATTTGCATGGCTGTTCGTTATAAAATCATCAAATTTACACCTTAGAATTCTAAGTAGTTCAGATTTAGTCAAGTACAGTCTCTAATACAGTGTTTTTCAACCCTGGTCCTCAAGGCACACTGCTCTGCATGTTTTGGATGTTTCTGAGCTTCAGCACACCTGATTTAGGTAACAGGTTTATGAAAGCTGGGAAACATCTAAAACATGCAGGTCAGTGTGCCTTGAGGACCAGGGTTGAAAAACACTGCTCTAATAAATAGGCAGTTCAACATTGTGTCCATTGCCAGAGAAAAAATAATAAACTATGGAAATCTTTTATTTTGTCAAATCCTCAAAGTCTCTTAAATCTTGTGCCTACCTGCTAAGTTGTCTCTCTATTCGACAGTCCCGTTCTCTCCTGGCATCAGTAAGCTTTTGGTTTGTGTTAAGAGCAGTCCACACCTTTGAGCCGCTTACACTGAGGTCCAGAGCTGTATAACCCTCCTTGTTCTTTTGAGATACATCCGCCCCATGAGACAAAAACAACCTGTAGACAATAAAAAAAAGAAAGAATTGAATCAGAGAAAGCTAGCCGCTCTATAAGGAAATCATTAACCATGTAAGGTGAAATTGTTGCAGTGCTAAACTTGCCCTCATTTCTTTTCAGGAACCAAAGTGACCATTTCATAATTCACTTAAACATAAATTTACTACTGAACAAAAATCAGATCATACACTTATCAGCTTATCTAATTAAAAGGAAAATTCTAATAACCTGTTTGTTACTTGTGTATAGATCATCATAGGAGAAGTGCAGAAGCATAAGCTGAAAACTTATCAGTAAACCACTACCTTTGATTTAAGATGTCACAAAAAGATGTTGTCTAAATTGAACCCAGAATATCCTCCACAGCTGGGGTATGAGTTACCCCAGCCGGGGGTAACTCATACCCCTTGTCACAAAGCACTGAAGGTTATCAAGCTGCACTGCAGCTGGAGAGTTCCTTTCTGATTTGGTATTAAATACTGACAGGGTCATCATAGTGGGGGATTTTAACATCCATGCTGACATTGAAAGTGATAGCTTAAGGGCAGCCTTTAATGCTATCTTAGATAGATAACGCTATTGGCTTTGTTCAAAATGTAAAAAGTACCACACATTCTCATCTTCATACTTTTGATCTTGTGTTGACATATGGCATAGAATGTGAAGAAATAATAGTATTTTCTCACAACCCTGTCCTCTCTGACCACTTTTTAATAACCTTCAGGATTACTTTAATAGAGTTCTCCTCCCCCCAAAATTTTGTTTACTTTAGCAGATCATTATTAGGTTGTGCAGTTATAAATTTAAAGAATCTGTTTCACTTTCTCCCTCCTCTGTGTCGCTGAGCAGTGCTGCAGAGTGCAACAGCTTAGTTTGTTCCCCTTCACAGGTGAGGACTTTGTTGATGGGGTTGCTAGTTCTCTGCGTACTGCCTTAAGGCCAATTTATGCTTCTGATGCAAAGCCTCTGCAACCGTCAAATCTGTCTCTGTGCACAACCACGCCCCCCGCACAGAGGTTCTGCAACCGTTGTCGCACACCTCAAAAAAATCCTGACTACTCGTTGGACGGTCACAAACCTGCGCGGAGCTCAAGCGAATGTGCGCAGACAAAAAGCATCTGTGATTGTTCTGTGGAATGCCTTTCCGTCTGTCTGTGTGGTCGTCCTTCTCAATTCGGTGCCAGGGCGCAAATTGATAAGATTACTACTGTATAAGCGGACCCTTTGTCATTTTTCCTCATTAATAGAGGAGAATAAGAATAATACTAGATATTTTTTTAATACAGTTGCCAAACTCACCCAGAGCCATAGCTCTGTTGAACCATCCATTCCACCTGCTCTTAGCAGTAATGATTTTAAGGGATTCTTTATAAATAAGATTGATCTTATTAAAAATAAGATCATAAGCACTCCTCTATCTATGATTGGTTTACCTCTAGAAGGTGAGGCAGCATCTGAGGTAGCCATACAATCTGAACCGGGTTTAGACTGCTTTGATCCAGTCTTTTAAAGTCTTTCAAACTAATTACTTCATCTAAGCCTTCAACTTGTATGTTAGATCCAGTTCCAACAAGGTTATTTAAGGAGGTATTCCCTTTGATCCCCACCTCCGTTTTAGATCTGAATAATCTATCCCTGTTCAGGGATATGTACCAAAGGCTTTTAAGGTTGCTGTAATTAAACCTTTGCTTAAAAATCTGTCTCTTGACACAGATGACTTGGTCAATTATAGACCTATGTCCAATCTTCCTTTCTTATCTAAAATTCTTGAAAAATAGTTGCCAAACAACTGCCCGCTTACACCAGGAATCACTTACACCAGGGGTCTTCAACGTTTTCCAGGGCAAGGACCCCCAAACTGATGGCAAGATGAAGCAGGGACCTCTAATTATATATATTGTATGAAATTGTGTTATATCAAACTGGTCCTATAGTCACTCTACTGCATATGGATCTCATGTAATGAAAGTAATTAGCACGGGGATTATTAAAGTATTTCTGATTCAGATTCCTGGTTGATGGGACAGGTGTTGTGAATGAAACGATGCCCAGCTTGAAAGAGCTACTGTGTGTCGCTGAATGTGTGCATTGATGACTGAAAGACATCTGCCTCCATTTGTCTGCTCACTACAGTGTTGAATTGATGTTGATTTATAGACATTTCAATTAGTGGAAAAAATTACAGGAGGGAATATAAAAAAGTCTAATCAACATCATCTTTCGCGACCCACATGCAGTACACGCTTGAAGACCGCCGACTTACACCATAATGAACTTTTTGAAAAGTTTCAGTCTGGCTTTAAAGCTCATCAGCACTGCAACAGCTCTGGTGAAAGTTGCTAATGATATTCTCATGGCCTCAGATAATGGACTTATATCTGTACTTGTCCTGTTAGATCTCAGTGCTGCATTTGATACAGTCGATCACAATATTCTTTTAGAAAGACTTGAATATTTTGTTGAAATGAAAGGAGCAGCAGTAGACTTGTTTAAATCTCATCTATCTGATCGATTTCACCTTAAAGAAAAAAATTCCTCATGCTCAAAGGTTACCTTAATAGCTATATGTCTTTAAATCCAGATGAAGCTAACCGATTTAATATATTACAGGCATGTCTTGAAGACATAAAAACCTGGATGACCCTTAACTTTCCGCTTCTGAATGCAGACAAAACAGAAGTTATAGTCTTTGGACCAGAGTCTTTGAAAAATAATCTGATTAGTCAGTCACTTCATTTAGATGGGATTAAACTGATTTCAGATAATAAAGTAAAAAATATCGTTGTTATTTTTGATCAGGACCTGTCACTTATATCACACATCAATTGGATGAACCATCTAAAACCATCCCTTGAGAACAAGAGATTCTCTGGAAAGTTCTGGAACTTCCCCTCGTAGGGGCGGTCAGCTCACGCATGGACCAATCAGCTGATTGAGGAGGCTGATACTTTAACAGGAAATGCCCCTACATCACTCATGGTTTAAAACGCAAGTTAAATCTTTCTCTTCCTCCTGGGTTCCATCGCCTGTAAGGGAAGACCCCATCAGGTGAAATGCTAAAAAAAAGCTAACTGGAAGTAGCTTTCGTTTTCCTGAAGTCATGGATCACAGTGTCCCATCGTGCATAGCGGCTGCACTAACTGGGGGGAGAGAAACCTCCGGAACTGACTGCTGAGTGGAGTCTCCTCTCCCTTGCCAATGAAGCTGGGGTCCACTTCGGCAGGATCTTCAGCAAGAATGGAGATCTGGGCCCAAAAAGATCCAGATCTACAAAAATCATCAAGGATAGGTCAGAACCTTTCAGATTCCAAACTGCTGCAAAACAGACCTTCTGCAACACATTTCTCTTGAGTTTCAGAACTTATAGTGCCAGACTGGATGAGAAAGCCTGCCTTGATGAACCACTGAGATAAAGAGGCCCCCTGCTGTGAGCCACTGAGACTTAGGCCCCGTCCACACGAAGTCAAAACGAACACGAAACGCTGATATTTTCCAAAACGTTTGCCGTAAAGACGGAGACGTAAAATAAATGTGAGCATCCACACGAATGCATGAAAACGCTGCAAAATGTATGCCAGGCCTGTAAGTGGCGCTGTGGTGCCAAAGCAAAAATAAGCGACGAAATGTTGGGCATGTGCACTAATATTTATACATGGTTGCCCTGCGGGTCCATTCAGTCAAATTCAGGTGCTGAACTATGTCGTCGATATTGCTCTGTTCTTCCTGGAGATATTCCAGAAGAAGAAGATTCTGTTGTAAGCCCGACAGCAGGGTGAGTAGCATTAGCAGCAACGGCGCCATTGTTGTTGTGATGTGTCGCGCATGCGTGTTTAGAGGCGACGCTATGACGCATGCGTGTAAAAAAAAATATGCGGTTAGAGCGTAAAGATGGAAACGCGAAAACGGCGTTTCAGAATCTTCCCACTCTGAAGGCTGAATAAAAAAAAGATCGTTCACAGACCCCCGAAACGCCGGCTTCGTGTGGATGAGAGGCTGGTTTGGTGAAAAATTTGTGCGTTTAGGCCAGGGTTCGTCTTCGTGTGGGCGGGGCCAGAGAGAGAGTCTGCCTTGGTGTTGGCCTGACTGCTGAGCTGTTGCTGGATGAAACTCTGGCTTACCAAATGGACATGGACAAAAAGGTTTGCAGGTCTGGCATGATTAGGGACAGAACAAACAATATGTATTTTGATGGTATTGATAATTTCATGTGTTTACTGATGAGTAACGACAAAGCTAACAGGATAGATCGAATGCTACACTATGCTACAGGAATATGTTGTGAGCTGTTGTTGAAGCTTGGACAAGCTTTATTTCACTAAGGATTTAAACATTGATATAACATAAGTGTTTATGTGTTCCTCACAGCTCATAACATTTTGATTACCAAGTATGACCAAGAGTCATTTAATGGAATCCTGATGTATTAAGAGTCATTTGATTATAAGTTATTGGTTCTTGATTAAGCAAATCGTTTAATAATATATTAATATATGAATATAATTTGGCCAAATAATGTTTTATTCAATTCGTGGATTTGCATTGTGAATTGATCTGAAAACATTTCAATTTCTCTACATTAGTGAAAAGCTAATTTGATCATATCCCAAATTCTTCCAGATAAACTTTGGTTTTCAAACACAAAATTCATCTTAAACTGTTATATGATATTCAACCATGTTCCCATTCCTCTTTGTACATAGTAGTTTAGTTTACTTGAGTCTCACTAGTTTTAGTTTTGAACTGTAATATGTTTGACTTGGTGCTGAATTATTCTGTTAATAAACATATTTTAGCTAGTAAAGTAAATTAGGTCTGGGATCTGTTTTGCTTTGTGAGGACCAAATTGAACATTTTTAAAAGCTTTTCTTATATGTTTAAGTTCACCTTCAGCTGTGACACATACAATCCAAGCGGAGGAACAGACTGGATGTAGAGAAGAGCCTGGTATCAGCTGTTTTTCTTGCTGAGCTATCAGAGCTCATCAAAGCAACTCAGGTGTCTTGATGAAAACAAAGTAAAACTATTTAAATTCAGTCTGACTACAATTGTTTTTCTGTATTTTTTTTCCAATTCATCAAGTTTAAATTGTGATTATAATGGAATTACTCAGAGGAGCTCAAGTTTGATAAATACACGTTCATAATATAATTTTATGTTGTATTTATTCCTTACTAACTTCCAGGCAACGCATCAATATTTTTTTTTTTTTTTTTTATCTGAGATGAAAGCACAAAATGCCTAAGAATTAAATGCTTAAATTAAAATCAATCATGTATGTTCCACTTTTGGACAATCATCAATACTTTTGACTGAGAGGTGTACTCATGGCAAAATAAAATTTGCAAAGAGGTACACAACACAAAAAAGTTTGGTAAACACTGCTCCACACTATCTCTATCCAGTGCCATCAACTGTGCCTGAGGTTGGATAAGAAACTACATAGTTTGTACCAAAAAGCAAGGCTAAGTACTGGTTCTGATCCAAGGTAACACCCATGTCTGTCTTCATTTTATGTGTACTTAATACAATTTCAACCAAATTTTTGCTGTCATTCCTATTCTAATTCAATGTATTTTTTTTTCCTACTTCTATAGGGATAGTTTTTGTTGCCAATTTACTACATTTTCTAAATATCTGGTGCGGCTCCAGTTTTAACCCTGTCCTTGGGGCCACTGTAAGCAAAAAATAAATATAATATGAAGGACTTTAACTTTTGTGCAAAAAAGTTTTTACTTCTATTTACATGCATGGATCTGCAAGCTAGCTACAGCTCTATCTATCTTTCTGTATGATGACAAACCCATTTCAAGCATTTTACTAAAAACCACAAATGCAATTATTTGCCCAGCCCTATTAATACTCATAAGAAGCTTGCACCTGATTATGAAAACATGATTTTATTCTTGGCAAGACAATCATAAGAGCTTAAATAGAACTAGGAGCTGGGCTTGTCTTGCTTCTTGAAATGGTTTATTATTCACCCCAAAGGCTTCTCCTTTCACCTATCAAGAACTTTTTGGATTCAGAAACACTCTGTACTGGTTTCGGTCTAATTTGAGCAGGATAAATATTTGCAGGAATCCAGCAGATCTTTGAATGTCAAACTTACATTACACACTTTAGGTGGTTCGCTCTTGCAGCAATATGAAGCGGTGTGTCACCATGAACGCTGACAGCGTTCAGGTCGCATCCAGTTTCCAGCAGGGCCTGGGCGATGCCATCACAGCCTGACAACGCCGCCCAGTGCAGACCGACATTTTCTTCCTAAACAAAGCCCAGAGTAGGAGACAACACAGGTTCATAAAAAAGTGCAAAAAGTGCTAACACTCCTTGTGGTTTATGGGTGTATTAAGATGCTCATAAACCACAGTGAGACTCTCAGAGTTGGGAGATTTATATTTAATTTTTTTTCAATGTTTTTCAATACTCTTCTTTCAGTTGCACCTTTGAAAAACTAAGTACCAAATGTAACCAAGTGGTTCATCCAAGTCGAATAGGTCCAATGGTAACTTATTCTTCAAGATATAATTTAGGTTTTAAACATATTATTCTGTAGTGGGAGTAAAATAAGCTGACCGCAGGCACAGATTAATCAGATTAAGCATTTTTGTGACCCGTCGGCATTTTGCACAACACAGAGCTTTATTAAAATGTAATTTACTCTGGAACACCTGTGCATCCACAGTATGTTCAGTGACTGATACTTATAAACCCAAAAGGTCAGTTTGAGATGGCTCTATAAAGGCAGAGCAGCGTGTTGTCAAAACATACCTTGTCTCTGATGTTAACATCAGCCCTTTTTTTCAGAAATAGATGAACCAGCTCTTTATGCTTGTATTCAATGGCCCAGGTGATGGGAGTCCACCCTCCATTATCCTGAACAGACAACAGGTTGCAAATCATGTCAAGATTCTTCACATATGGGTTTTTTTAATAACGGAAATGTAAAATTTCATTACTTAAATGGAGGTAGTTATAAAAAAATGCATCAAGTTGAGAAAGTTTACTGTTTTATAGACAAATGCTTCTTAAGTGACACAGATGGTTCTGACATATTATAGAGTTGGAAGATAACCACAATATCGAAAGGGGTCTGGCTGCAGACCAGCCCTGTTGGGACGCTTCATTGCAGATCTGCACAATGCAGTCTCCTGCACTGTAAGAACAAGAAGTTTATTACAGACGTTTTAATTAAAACCTTCAGGAATAGTGAGTAGCTATGCTTTTTTTTTTTTTTTGGCGACGTGAGTGCTCACTTAAATGTGCCTTTTTCCGTACTTTTCCCCACTTAAAGACCAAGAAACCATGTGTATCTTATGTATTTTGGATGATTTTCTTTTACCCAGTACCACATTATCTGCCTCTTACAGCTGCATGTTTTAATGTGACTCTAACCACTGCACATCATTCAGATAAATTTGCTGTTTCCACAACAAAAAAACAGTTCCAAGAATATGAAATCGACTACTGAAACAAGTTTTTTTTTTGTATCTTCTGTTAATAATGCACTGAGAGAACACAAAGCTAAGTTAATTTGAAATCACACACTCCATTGGTAAATCTGTTTTGTCCAACAACAAAAGGTAAGACCATAGCACAGACAAAACTAAAAGAATAAAGAATATATAATACTTTCAAACACAAAGATGTCTTTATAAGAGTTAAGTTTATTAATTCGACATTTTCTTGCGTTTTTAACCTTATCCAGTTGAACTGGAGGTAGATTATATATAAATCATTAAACATATGAATACACCAAATATTTCTATTGAGAAGACCCAGGAAATAAACAAGGAAACGTGAAATATTTCCGCTATACTAGCTTTTATTTCATTTCACTTTTACTTTGAAAAGCTTCAAATAAACTTGCGGTTCTGAAAGTGCAGGGGACCTTACAGTACACGTCTGGAACCAAGGGTCCTGACAGTGCAGGTCTACAGCTAAACTCTCTTGATAATATCTGCATTTATATGATATTATTTTGAAAGAGGCCACATTGTTGATTATCAGATGCCAAAAATCTTTGCAAAACACCAAAATGAAGCATTTACTCTATTATTTATTTCATTAAGCAAATAGTTGGTTATGGTGTTGTGACAAGGAAGAAAACAATAACCAAAAAAATGTAAGTTCACCTGAGCTCACTGTCCATGCTAGCAAAATAAAAAAGAAGCATGGGTCATGAGGCACTCTGTAGTTTTGATGCACCCACTTTTTCCTGATTTATTTCTTTTTATATTCTTTATATATCTGACGATGTTGGCAAAAACCCAGAACACCATTTCAATTGGGTTGAAAAATTCATATACATATACACTGATATTTATGTAATCATTTTCTTATCTTTAATATAAGTAAAAATATCAACTACCATTTTTATTACTAAAATGGGGGTTGATATACTGTGAAATCTCAGGTGAACCCAGCAGTTATTTGAGGAAGATGAGATACACATTTACCTGACAATTGATGTATTTTGGTGCCTTGATAAGCAGATGATTGGCAACATCATAATGTCCCATCTTGGCAGCCAGATGCAGACAGGTGAAACCCATGATATCCTGGGATGATATTATGATTCACAATGAAAAGAAACTAAATGGATACTACCTTGGACCAAAGGATACTCACCTTTATTTAAACAAAGGAAATAAATAAAAGAATAGAAGAACAAAATCAATAACATTTTAAATTAAGTCAATCCCATTGCAGAAGTTGCTGTAGGCACAAAAACAACCCACTGTAGTTAAAGTCTATGGTGAGGCTAATCTAACATGTCGGCAGTGGTCACCACACATTGTGACACATTAGACACATTGATAATGTTCAGCTTTAATACAGATAGTGCAAGAAATTTGACTCATGAAAGATGGTTCTGTTCACTTGGGTTCTTGTGGCACCTCAGTGATCATAAGAGGATCATTTAATTAGAGCTCAGTGTTCAGAAAATAGCTGCGTCTCAATTCGCAGGCTGCGTACTTCCGAGGACCCAGCCTACCTAGCCTCCGGAGGACCCAGCCTTGGTAGGCTGCTCCGGAGGATCCTCAGCCGTTGGTAAATGGGACGGTCTAGCCTTTGGAGCACTTCCTGGTTGAGACACAACGTCATCACGTTTACCCCAAAAACAGCGCCAAACAAAATCCGACAGCTCGAGAAATAAGGAAAGAAAGAAAAAAAAAAAAAAATAGATATGGAAATTTTTTTTATTTTTAATTTACTTGTTATTGGAGGAGGAGAGTCGGCTTTGACGGCTTCGGCGGCAGCAAAACCGGCGACGGATTTTTCTCAGGCTGGCAGAGCACAGTGGAGAGGTAAGATCTACCTGCTATTATTCTAACCCACAGGGGCCTGCTAATGATCAGAATATACCAGTTATTAAATAAACGCTTGTCAGCAGATTGATGAATATGTTTAAATATCAAATTTTATATTTATCTGTAAGTTTGTAATTTATTTGTTTGTAACTTTAGTAATTTGAATTGAATAGTTAAATGTGTACAAACCCTGTAAATAACTGACTTAAATAACTACTTGCACTATCACTAATGTTGTGTTGAGAAGCCAAACTGTTGAGAAATAAATCGTTTTTTTGTCTAAATTGTTACCCCCTTACTGCCTGATTTTATTTGCAATTATATATATATATATATATATATATATATATATATATATATATATATATACACATACACTCACCGGCCACTTTATTAGGTACCCCATGCTAGTAACGGGTTGGACCCCCTTTTGCCTTCAGAACTGCCTCAATTCTTCGTGGCATAGATTCAACAAGGTGCTGGAAGCATTCCTCAGGGAGTTTGGTCCATATTGACATGATGGCATCACACAGTTGCCGCAGATTTGTCGGCTGCACATCCATGATGCGAATCTCCTGTTCCACCACATCCCAAAGATGCTCTATTGGATTGAGATCTGGTGACTGTGGAGGCCATTTGAGTACAGTGAACTCATTGTCATGTTCAAGAAACCAGGCTGAGATGATTCCAGCTTTATGACATGGCGCATTATCCTGCTGAAAGTAGCCATCAGAAGTTGGGTACATTGTGCCATAAAGGGATGGACATGGTCAGCAACAATACTCAGGTAGGCTGTGGCGTTGCAACGATGCTCAATTGGTACCAAGGGGCCCAAAGAGCGCCAAGAAAATATTCCCCACACCATGACACCACCACCACCAGCCTGAACCGTTGATACAAGGCAGGATGGATCTATGCTTTCATGTTGTAGACGCCAAATTCTGACCCTATCATCCGAATGTCGCAGCAGAAATCGAGACTCATCAGACCAGGCAACGTTTTTCCAATCTTCTATTGTCCAATTTCGATGAGCTTGTGCAAATCGTAGCCTCAGTTTCCTGTTCTTAGCTGAAAGGAGTGGCACCCGGTGTGGTCTTCTGCTGCTGTAGCCCATCTGCCTCAAAGTTCGACGTACTGTGCGTTCAGAGATGCTCTTCTGCCCACCTTGGTTGTAACGGGTGGTTATTTGAGTCACTGTTGCCCTTCTATCAGCTCGAACCAGTCTGGCCATTCTCCTCTGACCTCTGGCATCAACAAGACATTTCCGCCCACAGAACTGCCGCTCACTGGATGTTTTTTTCTTTTTCGGACCATTCTCTGTAAACCCTAGAGATGGTTGTGCGTGAAAATCCCAGTAGATCAGCAGTTTCTGAAATACTCAGACCAGCCCTTCTGGCACCAACAATCATGCCACGTTCAAAGTCACTCAAATCACCTTTCTTCCCCATACTGATGCTCGGTTTGAACTGCAGGAGATTGTCTTGACCATGTCTACATGCCTAAATGCACTGAGTTGCCGCCATGTGATTGGCTGCTTAGAAATTAAGTGTTAACGAGCAGTTGGACAGGTGTACCTAATAAAGTGGCCGGTGAGTGTATATATATATATATACACTATATTGCCAAAAGTATTTGCTCACCTGCCTTGACTCACATATGAGCTTAAGTGACATCCCGTTCCTAATCCATAGGGTTCAATATGACGTCGGTCCACCCTTTGCAGCTAGAACAGCTTCAACTCTTCTGGGAAGGCTGTCCACAAGGTTTAGGAGTGTGTTTATGGGAATTTTTGACCATTCTTCCAGAAGCGCATTTGTGAGGTCGCACACTGATGTTGGACGAGAAGGCCTGGCTCTCAGTCTCCGCTCTAATTCATCCCAAAGGTGTTCTATCGGGTTGAGGTCAGGACTCTGTGCAGGCCAGTCAAGTTCATCCACACCAGACTCTGTCATCCATGTCTTTATGGACCTTGCTTTGTGCACTGGTGCACAGTCATGTTGGAAGAGGAAGGGGCCAGCTCCAAACTGTTCCCACAAAGTTGGGAGCATGGAATTGTCCAAAATGTCTTGGTATGCTGAAGCATTCAGAGTTCCTTTCACTGGAACTAAGGGGCCAAGCCCAGCTCCTGAAAAACAACCTCACACCATAATCCCCCCTCCACCAAACTTTACACTTGGCACAATGCAGTCAGACAAGTACCGTTCTCCTGGCAACCGCCAAACCCAGACCCGTCTATCAGATTGCCAGATGGAGAAGCGCGATTCGTCACTCCAGAGAAAGCGTCTCCACTGCTCTAGAGTCCAGTGGCGGCGTGCTTTACACCACCGCATCCGACGCTTTGCATTGCACTTGGTGATGTATGGCTTGGATGCAGCTGCTCGACCATGGAAACCCATTCCATGAAGCTCTCTGCGCACTGTTCTTGAGCTAATCTGAAGGCCACATGAAGTTTGGAGGTCTGTAGTGATTGACTCTGCAGAAAGTTGGCGACCTCTTCGCACTATGCGCGTCAGCATCCGCTGACCCCGCTCCGTCAGTTTACGTGGCCTACCTCTTCGTGGCTGAGTTGCTGTCGTTCCCAAACACTTCCATTTTCTTATAATACAGCTGACAGTTGACTGTGGAATATTTAGGAGCGAGGAAATTTCACGACTGGATTTGTTGCACAGGTGGCATCCTATCACAGTTCCACGCTGGAATTCACTGAGCTCCTGAGAGCGACCCATTCTTTCACAAATGTTTGTAAAAACAGTCTGCATGCCTAGGTGCTTGAATTTATACACCTGTGGCCATGGAAGTGATTGGAACACCTGATTCCAATAATTTGGATGGGTGAGCAAATACTTTTGGCAATATAGTGTATATATAAACATAATGCAGGAAAAAATCAAAACGAAAAAATAAGTTAAATAGTGGATCTAGATGAAGTAAAATTTAATTTCTAATAAATCATGTAATAAAGATAATGAAAAAAAGATAGATGACTGAATAAAAATAAATATTTTTCTATTTGTTTTTTTTTTTACAGGTCATAACAGCACGTGCTGTCCTGCACAACATCTGCATGGGAGCAGGTGACATCACGGCCCCAGAGGACAACATGCCAGAGGATGAGGAGGGGAGGTGTTGGAGGCAGTCAATGGTGCTCCATGTAGGGACCAGGTGTCTGCCCTGGAGGAGGGTCTACCCGACCAGTTACATTTAGATGGCAAGTAGAATCACATTTTAGCTGTTCTTATTTAAGGGTTATGAAAACAGTTTTAGTAAAGTCATTCTTTTCTGTGTCTTTTAGTAACATGGCAGCCGTTGATTGGGTCAGCCCTGCAAACCCTGATGAACGATGTGGTGAACAGTGGAGAGAGGCACCCCCACCCTCCAGATGATGTCCCACTCACAGTCAGAAGACTCCAAGGTCATCTCTGTGGCATCCCATCAAGTCCAGCAGCACCACCAGGGACTCCTGCTCAGTCAAGATTGTATATATGTGTTCTCTAGTAATATTTATTTAATATCTTCTGTAAATAGTTGTAGTAGTTAATTTTAAAATCTAATGTCAATATTTAAAAATGTTTTAATAGTTTATTGTAAATACTTGCTTCTCTAAAAATAAACTGATGTCACTGAGAAGTTGTTCTAAGTTTACTTAAATTGTAAAGAAGTGATGAAACAGATAATGTAAAAAGGTTAAAAGACTTTAAGTACACACCGACAACAATAACTTTTATAAACAATTTAATAATTTAACAATAACAGCAACACAGAACCTCAACTTGTTAAAAAAAAACACCACAAAAAAAAATATGTCTGTCCACCATCCTCTCAAATAAATGAAATAATCTGTCCATCCTTTTCCTCCTCCCTCTGCCATCTGATATCCTCCCTGATTAAATCCACCAACTCGTCACTCCTTCTTCTCTTCCTCCTTTTCTCCTCTCTCATTCTCTTCCTTATCTTCACCCTAATGCTGCTCAGCCTCTGCAGCACCTGGCCCTGGTGTGTCCTCAGGGATGGAGGCAATTAGGACAGGTGGGGCAACAGAGGGTCTCTGTCCTAATACCTCATCCATGAGGACAAACCAGGGCCAGGTGGCAGCAGTAGGCTTCCCACTGACCCCCTGCCCTGTCCCTGGATCTTTGCATTCCTAAAGTAGAGGAAAACTATCTGTATCAACAGATGCAATTTTCTGTAGTGTTTCTTTAAAGCTAGAAAAAAGGAGTGTTTCATGATTTTGATGGATTAATGAAATT